CCTAAGCCGATGTCAGACTTTGCGAATCGCGCGATTCGCAAAGTCTGACATCGGCCTTAGGAGAGATCACCTCGACCCCCTCAAAATCGCAAGCACACATGAACAGTGTACTCATATACATAAAACCAATTCCACACTTCCGAGATTTCACAAAACATTTGGACCAAATCTTTATTAAGCGAACAAATTCACTTTGAAAGAATTGATTCCAGGCAGAAACAACTTGAGGGTTCAACACAAACATGAGAGAAGGGCGCGCTGGGGGCGAGACACAGGGCCAGCCGAGGCGCGCCCGCTAAAACAAAGAGGGATTTCCCATCAGATATATTATTATGCTAGCCTAAAAGGCTTGCAAGTGTGACTCTTATCCAAGGCAACACATGATGCAACTTCGTTGACACGCACACATTACCGGATAAAAGACATCATATAGTAAGAACTCTAAAACTATCTATGCACAGGGTTGGACAGGACAAGTTGAATCGTTGAGATGGTATTGCCGAGCGGGAAAACTGCTCAGATCGCACACACCGAATAACACCGGTCAGTGAATATCAGTGCGCGAAAGTTGGTAGATGATGAGACAGAAAAAACCGCATATTGATGACGATGTTGAAACCTGACGAAAAAGGCATCCGGCGCTAAGCCAGACATACAGAGACGGACAGCACAACTGCCGTCTACACGTTAAAAGCCCGTATCAAACAACAATAATTGAGAACGTTACCAGAACACACGCTCTCATCTCAACTATCAAAAAAAAATTAGCAGTGAGCGCATAAATTTACAAAATATAAAGAATGAAAAACTACACACTGCAGTACATGCAACAAAAGATCTCTAAAATGAAGAACGCGCTTGAAGGATGTGTGATCACTGAATGTCACCAATATCATTTGCAAATGCACATAATAAAAAGAACTAGGAACAAAATTAGAAACTGGGAACAAAGAGACAAACAACGAAGAGTAGGTAAAGTTTACACATTTGGAACGTATTGCCGCGGCGTGTTGTGGAAACGCAAAGAGGCTCAGCCATCGAACAGAAACGAGATCAGATGGAAGCATGACGAGCAGATATAATAATAATCATGGAAAGCACAGGAACATAAGGATTGATGTGTAAGAACGTTTGCTCGTCCGATCGATAACAGCCTCATACCTCAGCCTCAATTGGCATTGGCCCTGTTGTCTTCATCGTCGACAATTTGGAAATCAGCCACGTACAACTTCGGGTCGACGGCTTTAGGTATGGGCTCAATTTGTGTACGTAACTCCTGTTCAATACGGCGTAGTGTATGGCGATCCTCATATGTAATTAGATTGATGGCAACACCAAGATGACCAAACCTTCCCGATCTAAAGCAGAGACATACTGCTTTCAACATTAAGGATCACATGAACTGAAAACAAGGACTGCAAAAACTTGCCGGCCAATTCTGTGGAGGTAGGTCTCTGCGTTTCGGGGGAAATCAAAATTGATTACAACATTTACAGCTTGAATATCGATACCTAAACCAGGCTTCACTGATTATGGATATCAAAATGTTAAGATGTTAAGATCGAAAATAATACGTACCACGAGTAAGCAGATCGGAGCACACCAAGTTGCGACAGTTACCCTGACGGAAATCGTGGAAGACGCGGTTTCTATGATTTTGTGCCATCTTTGAATGAATGTAATAGCAGGAATATCCTATTTCGGTGATTTTCTTCGCCAGCAGCTCCACACGCTGTGTCGAATTGCAGAAGATAATTGACTGATTTATTTGGAGCTGAAAATAAATGCTTTGCATATTCTTGTTGTATACCGAACATAGGAGCTCTTTTAAAAAACCTACCTTGCGGAACAAAGTATTGAGGCAATGAACTTTCTGTTTTTCCTGTACATACGCGTAATACTGAGTGACTCCAAGGAGGGTGAGCTCCTACAATAGATATTCATAACGAAACTATAACAAAGGAAACCACAGGAAATCGGATTATGGGTCTTTTTCGAGCTACTGTGACCTTGCCGCATAAAATTAACAAGGAAACTTATAAAGCGAAAGACTAGCACAAATAGTTGGTCGTCAAATTCACATCTCTATTTCTTCAGAAGTCATTCTCCTATAACCCCGTCGATTTTCGCCGGATCCTTTTAGCGCCACTAGAACAGTTGAACAGTACTTTTCACTAACGGTTCTTTGTGGCTCACTTGTCACAACCATGATCAATCAACACAACTAGCAACAGTAAGCCCTATAGGCTGATTAGAAGACTTCACTATGCCACGGATTAACATTCCGAATGAGAACTGCTAGATATTAAATGTTCCAATGAGACCCGCCAGTCAAAAAGAAGAGTATCAAAATTCCCCATTAAGCGGACCGCAGCATAATAACGCTGACGGAATTCGATTTAATTCAGGGTCCAGAGTTCAATCAGATAACCCAGTGAACAGTGGGCCTGCAGCAATACGTATCTCATCTCTCCAAATATGGAATGACTGCGATGGAACCTCACCATGTGCAACAGCTAAAACTCCAACCTCACTATTTACCTCTGTGGTGCATGGAAGGGGGAGAGATGAGGAAAGAGATGGACGTCAGCAAAAAACTACGCCTTTTCCAGAACAGCTTTCAAAATTGTTCGGGAGTACTTGTACGACAGTGTGTTCCTGGGGTTACAGCATGAGTGTTATTGTCAGGAATATAAATCAAAATAAACTTGAATGGAAAGACGAATTCATTTCTAAGCTAACACTAATACGGCGATAGCACTGGAGTTCAAAAAAGATACTAAACTGATCCTGTACTAGCTGGCAGGGGCTTTTGCAGTTAATTTGGACACATTTCAATTCGACCTTCAATTCGAGTTTGTGACAAACACTTCAATTCGAGTTTGTAACAAAGAAAAATTGGAAGCTTAAGTGTGAGATGATTGAGCAGGGCATGAGTCAGATCCATATATGCCATGAAAGTCGATTAGCGGACGGAGTTTGCTAGGGAGCTGATAAGCGGCAAGTTGGAGCCTACACCTTTCTAAACCATCCCACTTAGCAGCGATAAGAAATCGCCACCTCCAGGAGCTATGCACTTTTCGCACTAGCTTTGCGAATTCTACATGATTATGACTACGCGGGACAAACCATTGAGCACTAGTGGAAAAACATCAATACGAATAAAAAATTCCTGAGCAGCCTTGGAAAAAGCAGGGACCGATGCGGCCTTATTAGTTTGAAAAAGTTCAGCCATGTAAACTCGTTTTCCAACATATTATAGTGATGAAAAACTAAACCAACTGACCTCCATGAGGTTAATTTCGTAGGGTTTTCTCATATGTTTTTGCATAAATTCGGTAACAGTCATTGGGAAAGTAGCTGAATAGAGCATGATCTGACGCTCCTTCGGCAGAAAGGAGATGAGACGATCCAGAATTCCCTGAGCAATATAATTATTAAACGAGAAACCTAATCCGACAAATATCACGACGTGAACTTGAATGATTCATCCTCCTTCTTACCTGGAAATCCTGACTGAGAAGTTTGTCAGCTTCGTCTAGCACAAGCATTTTACAGTTCGACATATCGGCTACCCCTTTCTCCATTAGGTCGAGAATACGTCCAGGCGTTGCAATTACCATGTGCACCGACCCATTCAAACGCATGATATCATCACGCAAGTCTGTTCCACCAGTGGTAACCATAATCTGAAAATTCACACTTGTCAAGTCCAGAGGAATGTGAGTACTAGTGCACTCTTACCTTTAGCTTGATGTGTTTTGAAAGCTCGACACAAATCTGCGAAGTCTGAAGGGCAAGTTCACGTGTGGGAACAATAACGAGCGCTTGGATTTTTTTGATGGCGGGATTGATTTTCTCAATAACGGGTATGCAGTACGCACCGGTCTTTCCTGTTCCATTCTTCGCACGAGCGAGGATATCTTGACCTAAAATTTGGTTGTACTGCATTTCAACTTTCCTCAACATGGTGCTACACACTGTGCAAAAAGAAACCATAATTTCGTTTTATGTAAATTATGGACGAACCAAGCAAAGGAAAGAGGGTGGCTATACATGTAGGGTGGGCACTCCGCCTTTTTTGAACAGAAATGTATAAAAGTGAAGTGGGACTGCTGCCCGCTATTATAAAATCACGAGAATCGGGGAATTCGTGAGCCAGGGGGTGTGGTTCACTAGGACAGAAAGCGACTTTTTCGTGTTTCGCAGCGCGAAACATTTTCGTTGCGGGAGCCCCGGTCGACTGGTG